GTGACACCAAACAGAGAGTCGGCCCCCTCGGGGGACATGCCAGAGTTTTGGAGCTGTGAGCCTATGAGATGTCTGTGTGTGTGTGTCTACTCTCACCGACCTCTTGGAGAACAGAGGGTATTTATTTTAAGAGTCAAAAAAGATGTTTTGAGCAGCCCCACTTAGCTGGATCCTGGCACCGGTACTCGAGAGAGAAGCTAAATGCCGGAGGTCAAACCTCGCTTTTTTGGCTAAAATGTTCAATCAAAACACACCTAATACTTCTGCTGGGGTGCGGGGGAGAAGCTGAGAGCCTGGGGCAGCCACTGCCAGCAGTCAGCAGTGCGTGTGCTGGGGCTGAGCTAACAACATAAAGAGGGTTTTCAGTAAACGGCAGCCCAGCCAGCAAGGAAGCCGAGGCTGAGAGGCTCCGGAGTGTGTCCGGCGGTTTCTCCACCCAAGGTCAGCAGCGGGTGAGGAGGGCCTCATTAAAGATGTTTCTACCTGGCAAGGCTGCTATTAAATCGGAACCCAGCTCAAACCTCCCCTTGCAGGAGGGCTCTGGAAACTCACGAGGTGCCAGCTTCCTCTGAGGGCGTGGTGCTCCCTCATCCAGCACTAGTGACTAAGGAAGCCTGTCACGAGGCACTTTCCTGGTCCTCAGCAGCTCACGGTTTCTCTCAGTGCAAGTTTGCATCCCCCACAGCGCAGTGAGCATTTGCTCAAAGTGTGTGTGAAGAGGGCCAAGGAGCAGAGCCCCAGCTCCTGTCCCCAAGGCTGGCCAGGCCCCATGACCTAGAAAGCACAAGGCTCTGGTTGTTCCCTCTCACTTGGTGACTCTTGAAGAGTTGTGGATGAGGTTGTTGATATCTCGCTGTGTGTCTCCATCTGATAGCAAACTCCAGGATAGGTAGTCACAGCGCCACGGCTGTGCCGACTCTTCTGGGAATGAAAGAGCCATATTGACATAGCAGATGGGTTAACTGGGCACTTACCCCACCTGACTACTTCGCAGCTTCTGATGAGGGTCCTCCCTGGGACCAAACTCATCCACAGGTCTATGGGACACAGCTTCCCTCCCTCTGAGTTGAAGAATGACAGGCGGGTTGGGAGAAGTCTGTGTGGCCACGCACAGGTGTCTGTCTTGCTAGTGCTGTGCATACCAGTTACTCCTATGAGTGGGAAGCAGGCTCAGCTCCCCAGAACATTTCTGCTGGTTTCTGACTAAGGTGTGGGGCATAAGCTGGTGTGGGTGATTGGAGCCCTGCCTGGGACACCATGCTTTGGAGACACTGGTGGCCTCTGCAGCATCTGCAACCCCCTGATAGAAAGGTCACCATGGTTTCTGGAACCCAGAACCGGCCGTCCCAGCTGTCTTTTCTGTAAGCTGAGACTTCATGTTCTCTCAGTGGGGTCTGGTTCCATTCCACTGGTGGCGATTCACGTCCTGAAGAGTGAGACACACTTTCAGAATGTGGTCTTCAAAGAAGAAACTCCAGCTTTGGCCTTCTGACTGACTTGAGCCATTTCTATCACAGAAAGGCTTCTAGTCCCCTGCAACCAAGTGACAGGGGTGGCGGGGGTGGGGTTGGGGGGAACCCTTTCCTATGTGGTTCTCCCAAATGCAAGCAAGGTGGCCCAGGTGACCAATGCCTTGTAAATGCAGTCATCAGTATTGCTACTTTTCTGTGACCTGGGGCTTTGGGAGGACGGAAAGAGGGCACAGTCACAACCACCCAAATCAGAGGAAACACAAGCTTGCTGCAATAGGAGGTATCCAAAAAGGGTACGGAGGACAGTAGAGAACTGTCCACTCTGGAAGCCATGAATCTGAGGTCCCACAGATCCAGGGTGGCCCCTGTTGATATCCCAAGGGCTATAATTGGAGACTCTGCAGCTCTAGAGATGCAGTGTTGGGGGGGGGAGTTCCCTAAACAACTCTGTTGGGGGTATTGTTATCCCCTCTCCAAAGTGCCGATCATCTGTGCCTAAGAACACAGGGCTGTGGGTATTAGCTTGAGTTGGCTGGAAGACGCCAACCTTTTTCCTGCCAGGAGGAAGGAATTTCTTAAAAAAAAAAAAATTCCCTCAGAGGCAGCCACATACTCCAGAACAGTGAATGTGAGCATGAACAGGTGATAAGCCCTTCCCAGGGACCTCTGTTGGCTGCTGGTGCCCTTGCAGGCATCTGCAGCTTGACTGAACACACAGAGCAGACAGGCAGGTATGTGAGGGCACAGCTCCTGCCTCGGCCCCACGTTTGCTGGTGACACTAGTTGTAGCTGTCACATCAGGAGGCTCAGCTGTGACAGGAACTCTCAGAGATTCCCCAGGGCTGGGGTGGGCGCCCTTTCCAGGACAGCCTCTCTCTGTGCAGCAGGGGAGCAGCCAGAAACCCCTCACACCCCGCCCTGTGCCCTACCCTCTCTCCAGTGTCTAGCACCGTGTTGACGTTAGTGTGTTAGTACAAGGTGACTGGAATGCCACCAAACGAGCTCCTTAGACTGGTCCTAAAACATCACATGGTCTCCTGTGACCTGTCTGTTGACAGGCTCAGCACACACAGCACATACTCAGGGACTTTGCAACCGTGTGTGTGTGTGTGTGTGTGTGTGTGTGTGTGTGTGTGTGTGTGTGTGTGTGTGTGTGGTCTCCATCCGTGTGTGTCCATGTGTCCCTGAAGCCTGGGACCCTAGGAAAGGATCCTAATAGGGATGTGGTGACCAGGTAGAGCATCCATCTAGGTCAAGCAGCTCAGAATTCCTCACTGCTGGGTTTCAGCATGGGGATCCCCATTCACTGAAGTGATGGAGTTTGGAGACATGCACTAGGTTCGGAGCAGTGTCTGCTCTGTTAAGCATATAGGATACAGTTGGTCTCTATAAGGAGCATCTTCCTGATGGCTCCTCACTCCCTGGCTGGGTCTGGTCTTCTCTAGACTAGTAGTGCAAGCATTACTTTCCTGGGGAAAAAATGAAAATACCAATTGTCTCCTGGCTGAAGCCAGACCATTAAAAGACAAGAGAGCTAATGGCCCATAGGACTGGTTCCTTATCCTACCATGGGTGGCCAGCAGCACAGAACCACTATGCTGCACATATTTAAGCAAGAGATCTCTGTCCCCACTGGGAACAGCATCTAGGGGACAGATTTGGATAGAATGCCCATGTGTCAGGAAGAGACCTACCTCCTTGGGTGATCTTTGCCTCCAGCATGAGTGCAGACTTCTAGGCATTTCTAGGGTTAGGTGGTCAATCCTCTCATGATCCCCTCCACCCACCCTCCCTGGCCCTGCTTTGAGTGAGAAGAAAAGCCATATTTTGCAGGGGGTGGGGGACAGACAGAAGCACAGCTGTCCACAGCTCAGCTCTGGCTGGTTTCTGCAGCTGGTCATGCGGCAGAATCTAGCCAGGCCGAGCATAGCACGTCACTGGGTCACTGGTGGTGTCTCCTCAAGGCTGGCATGAATCCTGCATGGCATTCACCTAGCCTTGCCTCACTCACTTTTCACTTAGAGCCACTTTCCAAACCACACTTTCAGAATTTATTAAAAGAAACATAAAATTCCCAATTGGTTAGAATTCCCAACATTTAGAATATGGCCTCTTGTTATTACAGCTGAGCCAGGCAGAGCCTCTCTGGTGTACCACATTCCCTTGCCGGTCTGCGCGGGCACACATGGGCACCCCAGGGTAGTGTGGAGGGGAGGGAGAGAAAGCCTTTGGGCTTGACATCACTCCTCATTTTATTTTTCAAGTGTGATTGTCCATCTTGGTTCCTGTTCTTTTGGAAATGACATTATAATTGACGAACATGAGTCTGTGAGCTGGACTTCCAGTCCAGAAGGGGAAAGTCCAGTTTCTAGTACTCATTGGTCAGTTTGCTTAGTTTTAGCACTCTGTGTCTGGGCACCGAAGTGCCAACCCTCTAGGCAGGGTTGGTGGTTTTCTGAGAGGAGACGTGGGGTAAAATGCCACAGCTGTGCAGATCGGAGCCAAGGAAAGTTATACGGGAGGCTTTGGAACAGGAGGAGCCAAGGGCATTGCTCTCCCTCTTCTGTTGTCGGATGTATCTGGGAGATAGAGGGGTGAGGGTCTACTGTGGTCCACCAGGCACCCTCATGATATCCAGCACCAAAGCTGAAGAAGTGCCCCCATAGGCCACAAAGAGCCATCTTATTGCGGAGGCACGTCACATTAATAAGAGCAGGTGACATGCTCCCATCTCAGACTTAACATAAGGAACCCCATGCTTGCTCCCCCCACATCTGCTGTCTCCTAGAACAGAGCTGGAACTCATGGCTTCCTTGAGCTCTGCCTCCCAAGCCAAACTGGAATCCCCAGGAGGACAGGGCCCTGCCTGCGCCTGGAGAAGAGCCGTTTTACATATGTTCTGCTGAGTTTTCTGACAGAGCTCCAAGCCTGCGTAGCTTTCGGGGTCTGGACTCCCTGCCAGTGGCAACCAAAGGTGGCCTGTCTTAAGATGCGTCCGCCCTCACCCTATCACTAATGGGCGGTGGGTTCTCAGCAGAGCAGTGCCATCTCTGAAGTGGAATTGTAAAGAACCCACTACGACATTTGCAGGGAGGAAACGCCTCTCAGGGGTGTCTTTAGTCCCCAGCAAATGGGGGACTTCTGTTAGCAAATGATCAAGGACATGCATATTCACTTTGCTCTTGACTGTGGACATGATATGACTAGCTATATGAGCTCTGGCCTTGACTTTTCCAAAACAATAGATTGTAACCTACAATTGTAGATCAGGTTAAATCTTTCCTCCTGAGTGTTGCTTTTGGTCAGGATATTTTATCACACGTACACACACACACACACACACACACACACACACGCACGCAAAACTAAAAGTGTCCCCAACAAAGAGTTTCCCTTCATTTCTCAGGGAAGCCATGAGATCTTGCCTCCATACTGGCAAGGTGTTGATCTGCCCATGGTTCACAGCCCTCTGCAGCTCGAAGGTGATACCTGTCGGCCACTAACAGCCCTTTCCAATTTGCTTTGCAGCAGATGCTGACGGATACAGAGGTGTCATCCCAGGAGAGCTGCATCAAAAAGGTAGGCAAACGGCATTCCTGCCTTCGTCCCAGCACCCTTTCACATAGACCCCGGTGGGACAGCGATGTGGTTGTTCCTAGGCTACAGAGCAGAGAAGCAGTCTGTGAACAGTGCATTATCTGCACACAGTTATGAATGCCATTAGGGGAGACACTCATTTTCACTGTGTCAGTGGTGGGAGGGGGTCACCTCACTAAGCCACCCCAGCTCTTGAGAACAGAGGACAACCCTGGGCCCGTGGGAATACTGCAGGCCGTGCAGACACATGGAAACTAAATAAAGACAGGTTGTGTTTATTTAACTGTCTTCACTGAATGCTCACATGAAAAGAATATTGGGGGGCCCGCAACGGGCTGCAGATTCAACAGATCCTTTTGCTGCACTCTTAACTCCCAAAGAGGGCTCAAGCGTCGCTTTAAGTAAGCAAAGCATTAAGCAAAAGAAAAAGCTTCAACTGGGCATTGTCTACCCCCTTTCTGGCTGATGATGGATCATAGCTGGTCGACAGACACGGCCCCAAAAGACCAGAGACAGCGAGGGAGCTATGCGGAGGGGAAAATACACATGGCCAAGGAGACACACAGAGGTGCGAACACACCTGTTTGCAGTCTACGTAGTGGTAAGAAGATGGTCTCCAGTGAGCTCCAAAGCTTCCCTGAGCTCAGTCACCGGGTATTGCTCACAAAGCATGCATACACAGGAAAATGCACATGTTCACACAAGCGTCTTATCCCGTGTCCCCATAAAATTAAAGTGACATCTCACTGGGCATCTTTGCCCAGGAACAAAGGTGGGCATGGAGATCCATTCACACACACGGCTGCTTGGAAGTGGTGGTGGAATCTCAGCGCAGGCTGCTGGGGAGGCTGCATCAGCACCACACAGTCCACCCAGGGTTACTCACCCGGAATGTGCACTCGAGGGGTCCTGCCACCCCAATGAGCAGACGAGCCTGGCCTGATGGACACTAAGCTAGACACATGGGCAGAGCTCTCTGCAAGGGATGGCACCTGTCCTTCTCCCGGGCAAACCTCAGGCAGCATTTTGGAGATGAAGCTGTGACAGTGGCCTTTCCTTTCTCCTTCCTTCTACCTTTTAAAGGTACCATGGATCAGATTCTCTCCCTCCTTTTATTCTCTGGATAAATTTATGTTTTTTGAAAGGAAAGGGTGGGGGCTGGAGCAGAATTCTGTATATCTCAATACTGTGGAAAAGAGAAGCACAGTCCACTCTGTGTCACAAACAGAGCTGGGCAGAGTGGTACTCACAGAGACCACCTTGTTGTCCATGTGTTTTTGGGTGTGCTGCCCAGCTGGGGTGTAATGGTTAAGGCAGGAGATCAAAAGATCAAGTTCAAATGTAAAGGGCCATGAAAAGGGAAGTACTGGGTGCTTTTAAATGGAAATAAAATAACAGACGACAGGAATGGGCCTGGCTACTCTCCTCTTGCTCTGGGGTGGGAGGTGGGGATGCTGTTTGTGATTTGTACTTTTTTTTTCTTGTGAATTATGGTTCTGTGAGGTCGTGTCTCACCTGGCCCCAGGTCATCCTGAGAGCTGCTTGTGGGACTGTTGTAAAGTACACCACAACCAGAGACTCACTTGAAGATGCTTGGGGGTCAGAACTGTCTCGATTGCAGATCCCTGTGATGCCCCTGAAGCTGCAGCCAGGCTGAGGGGCTCAGAGAACCAGGGGCCCCAATAGACCAACCTCCATATAGGCTGGAGCATCTTGGAAGCCTGAAGGGGACATGGGTGGCTGTCTGTGTCCCAGCAGGCTTCTCAACGGCCATCCCAGCCTGTTTCCTTCTTCTGCCCTATTGGAGGAAGTTAGAGACTGTTTATCCAAGCTCTATAGTGCTTCCTATGAGGCTGGGAAGCTGCTGCAACGTACCCCAGGCACTGATGAACAGAAGTTTTCCAGCTTTGGCTGAGTTCAGACATCCCTGCTTCTCCAGGATCACTGAACAAGAATTAAAACCTACTCTTAGGTCTGGACCTGAGTGTTGGAAGGTGGAGGGGACTGAACTGAAGATAGGAATTATAAGTCATCAGCAAAGGGGGTCTCATGCCAGGGCCTAGGGGCAATAGGGGACACATGGGACTTTGCACTTCTGTCTAGGTGGAAGTTTCTGCCTCACTAACAGATGTGTCACTTGGCACTATGGTTAGTATATACCGGTGTCTTTTTTCCTGAGGCAATGCCACACACATCTGTGTATGTTTGGATTACCCAAAGACATGCACACTTGTATTAAAAATATGATAGGGAAGTATGGGGCAAAGGGGCATGTGGATGGCCTTGGGTTGTTGAATTGCCATCATCTCTGAGCTTCATGTATTTCCTGCCCTCCATCTGCTTCTGTGAAATGTAGCAGACTTGATTTAGTTCTTTCATCCCTTGACACTGATGCAGGAAGGAGACATGGAGGGAGGTTGCTATTGTAAGTATTAAGTATTGGAGAATGGTTACTACAGAGAGAGTGCGTTCTTCTGAACATTCAGAATTTACAGTAGGAGCCAGGCAAGCATGGCTACACATGGGACAGCTGTGTCAAGATTCACATCCAAGACTGTGCAGACCTGCACTGAGCGAAGCCACCACTGACTCAGTCGGTCCCCCCAGTCTGCTCCCCTTTGTCCCTCACTGGACCAAGTCTCTTGCTCACCCCATTAACCCCTCTGTCTCTTACTCCCAGCATCCCTCTGGGCTCTGTTGTCCCTGACATTTCCATCTCTTGTGGCCACATGCCCCCAGCTTCTGTGCCTCGAACGCCTAAATCCCGATGCCATCTCTGCCCCTGTCTTTCATGCCCTCGGGGCACATCACTTGAGCTTCCCCAGAAGTCACTTCGGCTGTGGTCAGACCCAGTCAAGCTTCTTCCCACAGCGGAACCCAGGACCTCTCGGGCTGCCCCTCTGCTGGCGACTCTATTTAGTCTGTTTACTTAGAGGGAAGCCCGGGGCTCCTGGAGAGCAAACATCTGCGGGAGATAATCTAGCGAGCTGTCCATCCATCACTCGGCTGCGCGGCTCCCTGGAGAGCACGTCGGAGCCCGTAATAAAAAGGCCGGGAGAAGAGGCTTTGGGGAGGAATAAAGAGCCGTGTTAAGGGCTCGCAGAAAATGGATGGAAGACATTATTAAGGCTCAATGGCCGCCTTATCAAAATCCAATAGGATAGACATTTGGCAAAGGCTTAAATTTATTCTTTGACTTTCTGGAGGGCTTGAATTTATCCGTTAACAAGAGTGTAGTCCACCCGGGGAGATGGTATCGGGCGAAGGAATTTTGATTCAATCTCTTCAGTGATATGAAAAGGGAAACACAGGGCCCCACGGCCTTTCCCTTTGTCCCACTTTATCTTGTTTTCTTTCTGCATCTTGCAAGGGAAGGAGGTGTTAATACAGGGCAACTGGGAGAAAACACAAATGAAAGGAAGTGACCTTTTTCTCTTGTGTTTTTATTTCCGCCTTTCCTCCCTTTCTCTGTTCCCTCTCCGCCCCCAAATAAAGAAATCGGGGATTTGTACCATTATGACTGGGACTCGGGGCCTGGAAAGGTTCCCGACTGGAAGGGCCCAGCCAGCACTCCTGGGCCATGGCAGGGGGCACAGAAAGGGTAAAGAATAAACAGAGAGGGTCAGCGATGGGTCCATAAATCTCTTCCAGTTATTATTTCGTACAAAATGCTACAGGTCATAAAAGCCACCTGATAGCTCTCAAGTGGTCCAAACAGGATGATTGATTGATGATTATGAAAATCTGTGAAATGATTATTTGGGTGTTAGAAGCATAGTCTTTCCCACTGGGCTTGGGGACCTTTTTCCCATCGTATGGTCCTGGGTGAGCTACGGCTGGTGACCGGAAGCCCAGAGGCCTCAGGGCTTGTGAAGGATGACTGGAGCCAGGAGTGTGAACTCAGCCTGCTGAGGAGGTTGGACCCAAGGCAACTAGGCAACTACCAAGTGACTTTTGTAAAGCAATTATTTGGATGTCACACACCCCGAGATCTAAACCTGGCCACAACTGAACGAGCTGTTTGCCTCTGCAGACGATTCTTCACAAGAGCTGTGCAGCCGGGGATTGGTTTATAGTGTTCCTGTGTCGCTGGAGGGTGAGGCAGTGGGCAGACACTGGTGCTGTGCAACAAGGCACTGACCCGCAGGTCAGGATCTGGCTGGGATTTATTGGAACCGGAAGGCTCTCCACCACCACCCATAGCTTGGCTAAGGGCTATGTCACTGAGGTGAGCTTAGGAACCTCCTCCTCTCCAGCCCTTACCAGACAGCTGGTCACAGTCAGAACCCATCAAAGTACATAACTGTACTGCATTTTCCCTACAGACTCTTTATTACAAAAAACCTAAAACCAAAAACAAAAAAAAAAACAAAAAAAAAAACCCAACAACAAAAAAGCACTTCTAACACAACAAACGCTGCGATTGAAATTATTAATTTGCATGTGGGATCAGTTATGTCTTTATGAAACTAAAGTGTGTTTAGCTGCCCCGGAGACAGCCCCGAGTTGATTTTGATAATCTCGGGCTGAATAGACTTGCCTCGTTGCAGTAAGCCGGGGACAAAAGGCTGGACAGTGGTTGAAAGCCCTTTGAGGACATGTCTCTCTTTCCATTGTTCTGGGGTTGCTGATAAAAGAACCGGGAGTCCATTAATTCAGTGAATGAACATATAGCAAAGTCAGTCCCCTCTTGAGAACAATAATGTTGAGGTCAGCTTCAGTTGCCATGGAAACTAAGTACTCCTAAGAAGTTTGCATCCTTGATTTTGATGAATCAAAGGCTGCAAAGTGAAGAGGTGTAACACGGCCACCGAGACAGCAAAGTCGGCAAGTGCTGCCTCCAAGGGTCCCCGTCTCCTGGGGGGGGCGGGGCCTGGGCCACTGGCCCTGGGACCCTCAGTGGCTCTCTGAAACCAGCCTACCTGCCTGGCTTCTTCCCTCACCCCTTCCCACAGGACAGAGGATGCTGCTTTCCCAACTTGAGACTTGTCCAGAAAGGCCCCTTCCGGGACTCTCTCCAGTGACAGGCAGAAAGCAGCCTGGGGGAGGGGCTGCCGTAGAAGCTCTAGCCACCCCCATCGAGGGCAGCTTGGGGCCCCAACTGGACTCTGACCTCA